TGTTTGATTGCACTATTGTAAAGAGGTACAGGGGTGCATGTTAGCAGCATTTTTCTGGGTTAAGGTATGGCTGCACTTTTTTTTTTTTTTTTTTTGTTTTGGTTAATGTTTGTCTGAGCATTGTTTCGTTAGTGCATGTGTCTGTTTTCTTTCTCTCCTGTTCTGCCAGTATGACCAGTTAGCAGGGGGCGCTGTTGTTGGGAGTTGGGGCAAAGCAGCCATCAGGGCCTGACCTGCTTCTCTTCTCACAGCACGACAACCACCTGATGTGTGCCACCAAGTTCTGATCAGCTGTCCCTCGTCCACCGTCGGCTGGCTTCCTCCTGGGGTTGTTTTCTGTGTCTGTCTGTCTGTCTGTTTTTGGCCAGAGAAGCACCAGCACTGGGGATCATGAAGACAAAGTTTCACTTTTCACTTTTGTTTTTACCTCTCTTGTAAAGGTGGGAGAAAAAAAAATTACACAAGTGTTCACTTGTTTCTAGTACAATTCACCAGTTTGTTTTTTTTTTCTGAAAATTCAACAAAACCTAAACCTTCGTTTGACAAAGCTGAAAAAGTATACATTATCTGAACACTTGATTTTCAAACTATTTTTTCTGTTTTATAAAATTAGTGTAATTTTCTCTTCTTCCCAGTGTCCATCTGATAACGATCTTTACTACTGACCATGTGGGGATAGTGACCAACATTTATTTCAACTGTTTATATAATGTCTTTTCAATTCACTACTGCTTCTTAAAGTCACCTTCAAACTGGACAAGATCCCTCGAAAGACTGAAACAGTTTCAAAATTTTTCAAAACTCGAGGCTTGAATTTGTTGTAAATTATTCAAATCAACCTGTATTAAATTCTTTCATTTTGTTTCCTTCGAGAAGTATGGTGACCACCGGTTCTAGAATCCATCTGCCGTGAAGTTTGGAAAATACTTGCATGAAGGTATCTTTATGTGGATCTCATTGCAGTTCACCAGTTGTAGATTAAAGCTCTGTGCATAAGGTGTAATGCATTACAGTGTCGTTAGTTCCTGGTGTCTAACCAGATGGGATAATTTTGAAAATTATGTCTGTATTTGAGGCTTGTACTTTGTAAAGAGATCTTTTGTGTCTTATTACTGTTGAACTAGTACCTTTGTATTTGTAAAGTGAATATTATGTCTCAAGTTTTTCTTGTATTTTTTTTTTTTCAAGATTGAAGTAAGTAATGCTTATATTAAGACTACCAAAGTAACAATGGTTAGTTGTTTTTATGACACACAAATTAATTGTTGTCTTTGCCCCAAGGTGAAAGGGGGGGACTCCTGCAGTGGCTGCTTTGGTTGCCAACATTCATCCATTTTGGATGATTGTGTGGACATTTTTTCTTGTTAAGTATTGTCTGTACTACAAAACTGTCCTTGTATATAGATTAACTGATCACTGTTGTGCTGTAAGGTTGTAATGACTTTATGTACTTCAATATTTCTAATCTCAAAAATTGGGTGTTACTTAGCTGTGAAATTTGTGGTATACAAGTTGGTAATTTTCAACACTTATCATAGTTTTATAATATGACCCACCACATGCAGTGCCATTTGATAATTGAAAAAATAAACCCATTATTTTAAGGAAACCTTCATGTTTTGAAGCAGCTCAGTCTAATAAAAAGCTGAAGGTTTGAAAACTATGGGATTTCTAGTTGCATTGTGTAATTAATTGTCTGTCTGATTTTGCCAGACCATCATTGGTAACAAGGTAAGTAAATCTGTGAAGATGTCGAACTTTTCAGATTTCATATCTGTATGTACTGTTCCATCTTTTTCAAGACTTCTGCTAATCTAATAAAACCACATGATGTGAGTAAAGTAAATAAAATGTTCTTCTGAGCTGTATTTAAGTACCAATAAAATTAGCAACAAAGTGAGTGTGAAATTAAAACCCTCTATGTATCTTGCCATTTGTGTTTATTAATTGCCATTCATCTCCATTTTGAAAGATTGTAACAACTCGTCTGTCAGCAAAACAATTTGATATGCCATTTTTATATTTGTCTCAGTTCCAGTTTGCTGTAAGTGTTTTAACACAAATGTTTCCTTGATTTTAATCTCCTATTTGGTGTAGACTTTTTGAAATTTTTATATGTCAGTAATTATGTGTTGTTGAGAGATGTTTTTGTGAATATTTAAATAATGATGTTAAAAATACTTAATTTTATTGAGTATGAATAAGAATTACAACAGATTGTTTAAACTTTACAATATTTGTTTCATTCATACCAGATACAATTTTTTTAAACTTGCTTGCAATTTTAACTATTAAAGTATCTTAAATTATCTAATAATAAAAAAAAAAAGACTAGATTTCGCTTTATAGGTATCACATTCTTTTTATATTTTGTCAGTTATTTAAGTAACTAAATTCAATAATGCAAGAACAATTTACTGAAAATTTTCACATGCTGCCATACAATACTGGGTGCACTATTTGAACTTTTGAAGTCTAAAAACATTGGAACTATCTTTGGTTAACGTAGTAAAACTCACAAATAGAAATAGAAGTATGTTATAAATAATGAGCTCAAAGAAAATACCAAACATTAAGTATTAACTGCAGTGAAACACCTCTTGTAATAACCCACAATGTAAGTTAAATGTATTTTAGCTTATAGAACGTTACACATTTTAGAGGAAAGATCATTGCACGTGCTGATTATGGTGTGTATTTTTCATGTTTTCAACCCAAAGGAAAGCTTATATTTTAAGTATTATTCTTGTAAATGATTTTTCAACATTAATTGCTCATTTTTACATTGTTAGATATTTTAGTCAGTTCCTTTAAATTTTACATGTATATTCTAACTTTAAGTGTTTTAAGAAGTCATTAAGGGTAACAAGAGGAAGTTGTTTTCAATATGGAAAATTAACCACCTTTTTTTTTGTTACGTTAACAAGTCCCTTATTTCATCAGTTTAGTTCATTTGGCTTGGACAAGAAACTTGTAAACATTTCAGATCCTGCACTGTGATTTCTGATCACATAGAACATTGATTCTTAACTTTTTATTTACAACCAAAATTATGCTTTGTAAAGTAATTCCTAAAAATACTTAAAAACACCAATAAATGCAAGTGGTCTTGGTTAGCTGAAGTTCTTTTTTTTAATTGTGGTTTATAGAAATATGTAAATTTTATTAACTTTGTTATATATATATAAATATGTATAGACAACATCTAGTTTAATGGGTCCTAAGTGGCATACTAAAGACTTACTTTTTTAAGGTCTGTTTGTATGCACATTGACCTGGAAATTTGATGGAAAGATATGTGAAGCTTCAGGTTAGTGTTAGTTACAAAATATCAGCAGATTATTAGGTGTGTTTTAAACGAGATAAAAGATTAGAGAAGTATTATGGTCATCATCCGACATGTTTATTGTAGTAAATGTTTTGTTAAAGATAGGTCACATTTCAAGTTTACTGGCAGTGTAGGAGGATTATATCTAATGTTCACTATTATATGTTCACGTGGTTTGAATATTTTTCATGCTTTTGAGTTTCATTGTCAGTTTGTAAGTTAAGTGACATCAATAAAAGAGACTTTATTGAGCCTTTTGAAAGCTGTAGAATTTAAATACAGTTCCAGCATCTGGTTAATGGTTATTCAACATTACAGTGCCTATTATGTGCTAAATCTAACCAATGTTTGTGGAACTGAAGTCCAAACTTAAGATAAATTCTTGCCTTACTTTCATAACTTAAATACTGTCCTTTAGTTTTCTGTCCATTATTTGTGGAGTATTGTATAGTAGAGCTGTCTGCTAATATGTGAATAATTAAGTTCTTCTTGACAAACAGTTTGTGGGCTTTTCTTGATGTCATTGTATTAATAACTCTTTCTGTGAAGTTAAGAAACTAGAAACACACAACTGACAGTGGTTGTAAGAACAAAGTTAACATTATTTTTATGTGCATTTCGAAAACGAGACAATATATTATTATTTTTAGGAATGTAATACTAATTTTAATACTGACCTCTTTTCATTGACATAAAATTTTAGATTTATCGATGTCAAAACATCATAAATTTAGGTAGGGTTGAATCAATTATCCCCCTACAACAAATCTTTATACGTGGTTCAACCTCTGTCCCATTTTCAAGTAATGTATAATGTAGTTTTCTTACAGAAACTACTGTAAACTGATTATAGTTGCTTTACTGCTAATACTACCTATCCCTCTCTAGTTGGGATCCAGATCTTTGAGAGTGTAGTGTTCTATGATAGGATGTATAACCAATGTAAAGCTCTTAAAATGATTCCAGTACTTTACAAAACCTGTTGGATATTAAACAAATTTCCTTTAAATGTATTTTATATATATTTGATTATTAGAGGGGGGAAGAGATGTATAACTGTTGTTTTGAACTTTACTATTGTGATTATGGTGTATTTATTAGGGATGAATTCATGTTTTATAGATGTTTTGTGAAATGTATGTATGTAAGTCTGTAAAAATAAAACGTCCTTCATATAAAAATAACTGGAAGAATTTTTTTATTGATAATTCTCACTCTTCAGGCAATGACTAGGCAATTTCAGTGTTATAAAGTACTTCTACAGTGTCTCCATCTTTAAATTCATTCCACTAGTACGCTGTTTTCCTTCAGTAATTTATTTCTATTGTCCCTTTAAAAACAACTCATTTAAAACAATTATTCCCAAGAAAACAACTCGTGCAAATTAAACTTAAGCAGATGGGTATGGTACTACAAACTTAGTTCTCCAACATTGGTAAATGGACCATCCATATCAAGTTTTCCTGAATAATAAGACAGTAGAAATCAGATTGTAAAAGTATGGAGCAATTTGAAGTGCTTGAAACCCCCACATCTGTAGAGTGATACCATCATTATTTATTGGAAATTTGCACATAAGCCGTCCTAGACCATTAAAAATTCTCATGTATATAGGGTAACTAACAGTAAATCTGCCACTGAGAGTGTTACTTTATCAGGATTAAAGAGCATAAGTAGGTGTATTATTAGCTCTTTCAGCCATATATTCTACACCTCTGGAGGATTAGAAAAATAGCCACATTTTACACACACAATATCAGAGGGATAAGTTGTCTGAAATTAGCACATAATGACAAGTTTCTAGTGCAATAGCATGAACCTCCCAGTAAACTGGTGTTAAGTCTATTATTATATGAAGGGAATAATCTAATTACCTTAATAATGCCCAAATAATAACCATTGCACAAAAAAATTAATTGGATCCATATTATTAAATGAAGTAAAAATATATATATCTCCCTTTTAAGCCTTTATATTCTTGCATTCTGCTGTGACTGACGTAGAAAAAGTTCTCATACCTGATTTAAAATAATGAACAAATTAATTACAACAGCACACTGGAAAGATCAAAGTTACTTTTTAAGACCAGTAAGTTATATATTAACATTTCAAAATAAAAGAGAGGAAAACAAAAATCATTCAGTGGATTTTTAAACACCAACAAATTCTACTGCTTTACACCAATTTCAAGGCACTTTCTTCCCAAAGCCAGTAAATTATTACTACATGAAGGGGACTTGGCTGGTTTAGGAAAGCTAATGGCAAGTCACTAATCCTGCAGTGTTAAAAAATCAACCTTTAATAATAATAATAAAAGCACAGCTTGATTCGTCCCTTGGCACACACATAATGTCCTCCACTGGCCATCTTGTATTATAAAACCTGCTCTTCATTAAACTATGTACAGAATCTGAGTGGCAGCGACAGTGAATGAAAGCACACGTGCACGGTGAAATTCAACCACAGACAGGGGGAATGGAAGCTGAAAAAACAAAACAAAAGGTATTATGGTTCTAATCTTTAGGCAATGATCCCAAATATGTGTGCTCTCACTAGGAATCAAAAGAGTTTGGAGGTAAAAAGAACCTTAATTGAAAAATGCTTCAAATTAATTTACCACTAGAAACGTTACAAAATTGGCAGAAAAGCTGCCACGAGTAGAACACATTTTACAGGACATAAACTGAAGGAAAATAAATATTTATGTCCTTTAATATCCTCTCTCTTCTTGGATATATATATAACTGTCAAAAATGTTTTCAAAGAAGAATCTCTGTTCTCTAAGGTAACTCGTACTCTCTGGGAATTTCAGTAGAAATAATACTTCTCCTCCTACCTTTATATATTTTATAATTATTCCAAATAATGGTGTGGCAATGTAGTCAATCGAATGTATCCAGAATAACCCACACGACCCAACTATTGAAGCTATTTAAAGATAGTGAACAGGTTTGTCATCAACATACAGCACACTGAGGGTTAAATATCAATTATGGAAAAGTCTTGACTGATACTTTAACGAACAAATCTTTCTTACCTCCAGCTTACTTTCACACTCCTCATTAAGTGTGAAAATAAACAGTACAAGCAAGACCCACTTCCACTATTTCTTAATTTATAAATAAACAGTACAAGCAAGACCCACTTCCACTGTTTCTTG